TTTTTACACCCATGTAAATATAAAAGAAATACCACCTATTCCAGTGGGTATTTTTAACCACTTCACTAATTTTCTATCAATTTTAGAAATAACTGCAACAAAGTTTCTGAAAAGTTTGAGGATTTACGTTTTAATTACCTTCACAATGCTTCATCACAGTTTATCATTTTCATAGGAAACATTCTTTCAAATTAAACAATTCCTAAATAAAAAACTGCTTTAGAATTCAGTTTATGCAATAATAGTAATAACATCAACATAACGATAATTATGAGGGAAAGAACAGTTCCATGAGAGAATATGCTGGATGTCACAAAATGTAAAATTTGGGCCAGGCTCAAAATGACCATATTCTTGTGTGGTGCATTAACAGACTAGTAATAGTAAACAGTTTCTTAATGCCTGTTATTCCACAGTTTCACTCAAGTACCCCTCCTGGCACAGTTTTAGTGTAGGGCACCCACATTTTTACACTTTAAACTATATGGTCATTCTGAGCAGTTTTCAGACATCTGAATTACTGATACACACAGCTTCCATACCATTTAATGACCAAGTATATACCCATAACATCACAAAACAGTGACACCAAGAGATCTGTGGTGCTGGGTTTACATTAAATGGTAAAATCATATCTAAATTTTGTTACTTTCTTCTTATGTTCAAAGTGAAACACTGTGGTTTCAACGTAGAAAATGCATTATTTTCAAACATTACCATATTAAATGGATTTATTTGAAATGTGTTAGCAAAGAGCTCAAATAATATTCACATCCATAAAGCTATGGGTACTAGAACTATGCCACATTATTACCACTTCTTAGCACACAAACTGTATTCACTATAAAACCACGACTAATTTCAGCACCCTTCTGTTCAAAATGTAGAAGCCTAATAAGACTATCATTACACACTATATGATGTATTTAATTTCACATTAAATAATAGGATAAAACACACCATCAAGATCCATTTAGTTGGTTCAAAATTTCAGTGTCTCACAGAACTCCTGATCAAGTGTTTACTTTGGTTTTAGAAAGAAATGGGAACACTGTTAACAAACAATTCATGATCATGAGCCAACACAAACATTTGTTAGGAATTTTAATCCTTCCCTCCTCCAAATTTACAAAACAGTAACACTTAATAAAATCTATGTATGCATACATGCACAGTTCTAGTAATTACCACAAAGCTTAATGTACAAAACTTCGAATAGTGCCAGGAAGGTTCATAAGTATTAAGTATGAGGACAGCTCACCTCTTTACAATATAGGCAATATAAGGCTCCATATATTATTGTATTCATTAATTAAATAATGATTAAAAACACAACACAAGAACCTACAACTATCATTTGGTTCATCTGTTAACAAATTTTACATGCCATAGTGAAATGATGTACCCACAGAAACAAATTCTTTATCATAGATGCTGGATGCTGGTTGCTCTGTTAAAATTGCTTTATGTGTACGCCATTATTAAGTATTCTGAGGTACTGCAAAATTAAATTAAGTGCTTACATTTTTGTATGACAACATTACCAATTTGTCAAACAAAATATCAACTATAATTTTCCAAAGAAAAGTCAGTAAGACTAGAAAACTGTTAAAAAATATGAGCACTATCAAGAATGCACACAGATGAAACTGCTCCAACAAAATTAGTATGAAATGTGTCATAATGATTGCTAGTGGTGCATTTTACATGAACATAACACAAAAACATTTACAAGAATGATACAAAAGTCCTTTCCCATATCTTCAGTCCCCTTGATGTACCTGTTCCTTTTATATACATTGAAAAGTGTGAACATTGTTTAAGTAAGACCTGCTCGCAAATATAGCCGATCAGTTGCCAGTGATCACATGGCTGTGTAAATGCAAAACTAGCAGGTGACCATGAGCTGTGCAACAGTACAAGTGCCACACAGCTAAATGCCAGCAGTTCAAGTGCAGAATCTGCCCAAACAGCAACCAGAAGCCACCATTCAATTCCTTAGTGCTGATGCTCAAGGATCCTTAGATCCACATAAAAGCACACTGTCAATGTGAAACCTTCTGAGACCTCTGTACAACCATAAAGAAAACATCCTGGCATGCTCATGAGGGGTGTCCAAGAGGCCCACATTGTCCATGCCACACTAAACTCCATGTACTGAATGGTGATGGGCCATACAGCCTGGAGATGTCACTTCTATAGTTCAGGGCTGGACAGACATCAGCAATGCAGTGGTGTAGTGGTGCAACAGCCCACAAAGTTCACTGCAGAGGGGACATACTGACAGGTGCAACAATGGGATGCCTGCCTCAATGCCCAAGGGACTACTTATATATTTAATGGCCCAGAACAATCCTCAAACAGATTTCATTTAAACAAGCCTCATACCATCTGTTCTAGCACATATTCTCTTTCGCATATATATATTGTGACGTGGATGGCACAACGGGAAGTGGGGGGGGGGGGCGTGAACTCTGTGGTCTCGCGAGTGATGTCACATACCCCCACTCCTTCCACCAGTACCCAACGCTTGGTAAACATCCCCCCCCCCAACAGTGACGTGGCAGAGGAGCAGCTACAACAGGCAACCATTGTTTTCTGTGTTGTCCGTGCCGGGGCTAAATAAGGAGCAGCGAACACTATTCAGTAGTGAGTGATTAGTTAGTGAGTAGTGAGTGTTTAGTGAACCAGTTACTAGAGAGAGAATAACCAGTTAGTTGAAATATAGCAGCAGTTGTGGGAAGAAGACCCAAACGCATGGTTGGAAGATTTGATGTGATAATCTGTGATAGTGCGCGATAACTGAGAAGTAACCAGTGAAGACTTATTGTGTGACTTAAAGACGCTGTGTGTGCTGTAATACAGTTATATTGGGAGAGACTTGTATAGCTCCTGCGTTATAAATATATGAAGACTACTGAAAATAGAGTGAATAGATTATTGTGCAGGGTTTATAAATTGTGTAAACCTGTAGCTGTGTTATAATTAATTGTAGTTACGATTTGTAGGTTGTTAAACAAACCAATTAACAATCTTTACGGCGTCTTCAGTAGCAAAACATGTTACAATATATATATATATATATATATATTTACTTATAACAATGTCACATTCCTACATACAATATAGGGACTGGAGGTGGATGCTGGCCATACCTTTTTCAGTGATTCCCAAATCTGAGAACAACTGCAAATATAATCCCTCCAAATGAAAATGTTTTTATGTATACACTGAAGGCAAATTTGGACAATTTACACTAATATTCCTAATATTCTGTGGTAAATTAGGTATTGCTTACATCTCCCCAAATTCTCGCCTGCCCCACACAAGGGAAACTATCCAAATTTAATGTAACAACCAGTCAATATAGCAGCCTAGTATTACAAAACAGGGGTACACAACTGCAGCTCCTACATCTACTGCAACAACAGAGTAAAATTTACACATGTCATTACACACTGAGTGCTTGACAGTAATATCATCATAACAACAGCTCTGATATTTCCATTAACTAAGAGTTACCATGTGATGGTAATCCATGGCTTGGAAACATTAAAAATCTCTATTATGTGGGGACAAAGGCAAGTTTCTACATAAAGGAAGTATTTTACGTAATGCCTTAAAAAGGTACTACAAAATTATTAAGTAATAGCTACATTAACTATTACTATATTTTCAGGTTATTGATATTTAAAAATCAAAATTAATAGAACAGTACATTATAACCTGTAAAAGAAACAAACGAAAAAACGAGAAGTATTTCAGTTATGTACTTTCAACACAACTATCAGCCAAAACTTCTTAAAAAAATAACATCAAAACGTTTTACTTCAATACAGCAGTTATGTATGTTGGTGCATTGCCATATACATTTCTAACTCTGGTACATCCACATCACTCGTTAAGATGCGACACACTAAACCAAGCTGATGAGAGATTACAAATAATACCAAATCCCCTTATTCACACTAAAATATTCTGCACTAATAGTGTGAGCAGCACTTCTAGTCCATGCACCCTTTCCCTGCTCAAATGACATGTGATAGCATTTGACAAATAACAAAGATTAGATGTGAGCTCCTCACATTGGCTATGAAGAGTTCTACCTTCTGGGATATATCATATACTCCAAGAAAGGTCAACCTATTTTCGATGAACATATCACCTCTATCTTCAAGGTTGAAGAATAAGCCACGCAAGAAACCAGCATGAAGCAAGTAGCAAGGGTTGCTCTGCTTGCTGCCTGCTTCATGCTGGTTTCTTGCATGGACTACTCTTCGGCCATGAAGGTGGAGGCAACATGTTCACCTGAACCTTTACTGCCTTTCACTGGACTACACAATGGTACATCCCAGAAGACAGAACTCTTCTACAAAACTTAGTTTTAGAGCTCTGTTTCTGTTCCTCCTGCCCTTATTGTCTCTGCTTCTATCTCCCTTTCTAACACTGGTATGAGGTCACATGGCATCATTATTCCTCTTGAATATTTTTGTGCAGGGACTAATCAACTGCTCTAACTATGTAGTCACTTGTAGCACACCTACTCTTGCAAGAATACATGGTTACAATCATTCCTTACTAAAAATATCCTACATCACAGTCAATCTTATCTTGCGACAATTTCATTCTAGTCAAGGCAAGAGTTTTAAAACAAAGTGTATGAACATTTTAGAATATTAAACTACATGGTTCATTCCATTCTGTGTTGCCAGCACATTTTTATACACTTTTATTTTATTAACATACATAGACTATATCAACTGAGCATATGGCAACACCATAGCAAATTTTATCTAAAATGAGAACTACCCACAGCCCCTTCCACTGTGCTATTTAGGTAGGATGAAGACACCAAACAAGGAAATTACAATACAAATGTAATACAATGACAAATGCAGTCTCTTAGATATGATATACTGCTTTATGACTGGTAAATAAAACACAAACTAGAAAAGTAAAAAACAAGTAACTTTCAAGCAGTGAACAATAAAATAAATATTACTACTGTGACTGAAAAATGAGAGAAAGAAAGGAAAGTGGGAATAAATATGTCATTACTTTTAAAAATATTAATATCCCACCTGGGGTCAATAATCATTATTCTTTCAATCCTACCATTTTTATAAATATTTTCATGCTATTTTGATTTTTGTAGCACAAATTCCCACAATTCACCAGCACAACTTTACATTCTCTAAGTACAAGTCCAGTGCCTGGCTACCATATATGCACACACAATGCAGTACTTAAAAGAGGCAAGCATTAAAATATAAACTGCAATAACATGAGTTTCTTTTGTATTAACTACTACTTCACATCTCATATAGCATTCATACACACACATGCTCACATACAAAATTATAGGTATCAAAATCAATTTTGATCATTCATATGTGAAGCTGCCCCATAATGCACAACAAGAAACAAAGCACAGGGACATTAATCAAAGGGGATTCGGTATCATTTATAACCAGACCAATAGTCCACAATCTTGAGAGTGGAGTATATCAATAACGCATGATTATTTTCCTACATGAGCTCTCTCAGTTAAGATTATTCAAACGTGAAGCTAACTGAAATTCAAAATCTTGTTCTCGTTAGAACTATTTATTTCTGCTTTGACATTGGTCTGACAGGTGAGCGTCAATAATGCAAATCTCTGTATTGGGATATTATATCATAATAGAGCATTCTATCTGGGAATGTCTCAATCTCACAGAAACTGTCAGGATGTAACATGAAATACATCAAATGCCTCCTGAGTATTTCAAAATACCTTATGCTATAATCCCACAAGAAATTCGCAAATATGAACTGAATTCACATAACACTGGATTATGCTCCAGGCTTATGTTCACAAACTCACAGGAAGTTGTTTACTAATTACAACCTAATTTCACTATAAATTTATCAATGTTAATGCCTAAAGAGATGTTACCTTTACAAAGTAACAGGTCGCAGAGCCTGAGCACTTCCATGAAGGAATGGACAGGCAATTCCCTTCAAGCAAGACGAGTCTGCCCAGAACCTGCACGGGACGGTAGCCAAGTCATGAGAGAAGCGGCAGTGTGGACGCCTACAACTGCCCTCAAGATAATAGCTGCATGCTCGCTGACTTGCTGAATGCCTCCTGATGCATCAAATAGCAACAATATTAATAAATTCTATATACAGCAAAAACCCCATTCATTGTTCCTCAGTTTAAGGTTTTCCCTCAATAACATTCAGTATCAGCGGCCTCACATCAAGAGCCCCAGTGTTAAACTTCCTCCATTTAAGATCTTCCTTAATTTAGTGTTTAAATTCAGTGCTCCTCAAATGGGAATTTTGCTGCATATCATAACTGCCAGATATCATAAAATATGGAACCCTGGTTCTATGGTTCTTGCGGCCAATGCCAAAAGCAAAACATGTGACACATAACTTAATAATGTCCTTCCTGAAAAAAAATTAATTTATCAGGGTAGTTTGACAGTATCTGCAATTAATTTGTTAAAATTAACACAATAAATAACTCCAAAGCATTATTCCTCAACACAGTCCTCCTGCTCTATGCAGTTGGTCCAGCATCATGCAAGCTCAGGTATGCCACTGAAGAAAAACGTTTCTGACTTGGTGGCAAGGCACATCCTTCAACCCATGGTTAGTGGCAAAATGACAACTTCTTCAGATCCAAATAGATGAAAAGCTAATATAGCAGAGTCAGGGCTGCTTGGTGGGTGTTTTGAAAAACAGCTGTTGGAGTGACTCAGGAGGGTGGGTGGCACTACAGGGGCAGGTACAGTCATGCACCAAAGCAAGCATTTTTGTAGTTGTCTTCAGCATTTACTCAAAACTGCTGGCTCCAACTCATGGTGCATCTCACTGTTCACTGTCACATGATTTTTCACATGGTACTAGTTCATGAAGATAAGTAAAAGTGTCAAAACAGTCATGCCTATGCTGTTTTGTAAGGTCTTTCATATCCCATGAGTGACATGTAAACCAAAGAAGATGCAAGGGTTCTCTGTTCAAGAAAAAATGGACATTATAGCTCAAGCAGATGCTAATATGGAAACACACATTGCACTGGATGGTAGATTAGGGCTTGAGTGCCATCAACACTGAAGACTATTGTTTAAGACACGAAAGTTGCCAAAGTGTTACACACAGCATGGCATTTCAAGAGCTGGAGAGTTTGTTGGCCACATGGTTTAAACAAGCTAGAGGCAGCATTCCAGTACCAGTGGCACAAACATGTGAGAAAGGCTCTACACATTGCCACAAGGTTGAGCACTGAAGATTTTAAAGCTTCTAATAGCTAAATCAACAGTTTCAAGCAGTGACATAGTGTTGTGTACAAAACTCTACTGGAAGAGTGCAGAAGCATAGAGTCTTCAACAGCAGGGGAATGAAGAAGGAACAGTTAATCAAAATTGAAGATTACAAACCTAATATTTATACTGCTAATAAGACTTGGCTCTTCTTCATGCTTCTGTCTAACAAGACACTGAGTGTGAAAGGGGAGCCTTGCAATGGTGGAAAGAATTCCAAGGAGAGGATAATTATTGCATTAGCCTGCAATGCTGATAAGACCGATGGACATCCCACCATCTATTACTGGAAAGGTTGAAAACTCTTGTTGCTTTAGAAATGTCACAAAGTTGCCCACAAAATGTGTAGCCAAACAAGAGAGCATGGGTTACAGATGCCATCTTTACTATTTAACCGTTCAGCGTGGTTTGACGTGTATGTTTCGTCAGGTATTTAAATCGTCTGGGGGGGTTCGACATCTATGTTTCGTCCAGCTGCACACCTATGTTATAACGCCCATAATAATTGATGGTTTTGCTGTAGATTGTTAGATTTTACGCTGGCCTGTTGTCAGTAGAACAGAGTATAATAAGCCACGAGTTTAGCTGCGCTAAGTCATCGTTACATATGCCTGTCTTGCAGCAAATTCCTGTTGCTCTTGCGAGCGGTTTCCTCGTTCAAGCTGTTATGAATGGCGTGTTTTCTTTGCTATGAAGTTATAAACAGCAGAGACGTGATATATGCTGTGTTTATAATATCATATTGCCCTGAGCTGGCCACACTAACACACTCAATTGGAATTCTTAGAAGAGGGATGTCCAAAAATTTATTCTTGCAAGATCGATTGATTTCGCACA